TTTTAGTAATACAGGAATAAATAATTGATTTGTATAATTCTACATTAAAGTAAAAAATAATATTGAATCAAAGACATATCATATAATAATATAAAATAACACTAATGAAATACTTTTAATTTGTAAATCTTAAAATCATTTTTACTATACATATATATTTAGTTTGAATGGTTGTAAGGACTAACAGTTTAAAATCTAGGGTTGGTCAATTCAAGATAGTCGAATTTAAGCAAAGGTTTTTAAATGTTATTTTATTAAAGTTTGTTTATCAAATTAAATGTTAAATTCTATTAAATAATATACCTTCATTTAGTCAACATAGATGTGAGGACTAATACTTCAGAATCAATATAGTTAAGTGAAATATCACTGTTCATGAATAGTAAGTTAAAAATGTTGGTTTCTATGGGTATTGTATTATTTGCTCACTGACATTTACCTACGTCCCTTTTTTTACCTTTAAAAAGAATATTATATTACAATTTATTTCTTATTTAAAACTTGAGCAAACTTATTACTTGATCTATTCGTGTGACTGGGTGGTGCTTAACCGGTTCATTAATCATAGACCAGTCAACCTATAAACAGGTGATTAGGGGTTAATTCATCAATGAAGTGCGCAGGTATTGTCATTGATCCATTTAAATATGTAAACACAATGTGTGTATTCACAAAGTAAATACTGAGACACAGACTTGTTTGTAAAACTAAGTTTAAAAACATGTTAAAAAATATTCGCATTTTGGAAGTTATGACAAAATGTTAGTATAATTATGATGACGGCCGTTTCAAAATATGCATATGTACAAGTCTTTATTTTACAACGTTTTAATAAACGTTTTTTTCCCTTTTATTTATTCATGAAACCATATTGTCCTTCAAGATTCAGCGCATGTTGTTTAGTATTCGCAGTTGTATTTTGGTAAATTAAAACAAATATAACATCTTTTATGAATATTAAATGTAACCGAAGAAAGTAAATCACATACTGTATTAGACAGAATACATTTCATTCTATATCATGCTTTTATGTATTATCGTTTTTTTTCTTTTTTCTGTATTTAGGTTTTTATAAAAGGGGAAGGTGGGAGTAGGATTGTTACATTTTCCTTTTTTATGTTTTATTTTTTTAACTTTCTTATTATCTATCATGATTTATTGTCTGGTCAGTCTAACTTTGACGACGGCTGTAGCAAAATATGGATATATATGTGTCGTTATTCTACAACGTTTGAATGAACTTTTTTTCCCTTATATTTATTCATGAATGTATTTTATTCTATTTTTTTACGGTGAGGGTGGCATAATTTCAAATCGTACTTTGACCTTTATGATTTCCTTTCTTTTAAGATTTTTCTTCAATATTTTATTAAATACGTACTAGATGTAACAAAAGGAAAGTGAAAAGTTTAAGTAACAAATGCAAATAAATCACATACTCAATTAGACAGAATAACTTTCTATAGCATACTTTTATGTATTGTCGTTTTTTATTTTGTCATTCTTCTTAATTAAGGTTTTTATAAAAGGGGATGGTGTGAGTAGGATTATTAAACTTTCCTCCTTTTTGATGTTTTAATTTTTTAATATCTTATTATCTTTTATGATCTATTGTCTTGTCAGTTTAGTTTTTTCTGTACATATTTAACATTTAATTATCAATTAAAACTAATCTTTTTTTTTGTATCACAAACTTTTTATATATCATAGACAAAATTAAACAATAAAAGACTATGTCATTGAGGATTTTGAAAATTATCTATGATCTGAGACCACCTTACCAAAATTGTCCGTTTGTGAATTCTGAAATTAAAAAGAAACTAAGATTTAACTCTCACATACAAAATTGACTTTTTATGGAGTTGGCTATTTTGTAGGTCCTATACGTTCATATAGCTCTTCAACTGTTTCGGTTCTTAAACATCCTTGGCATTAAAATAGTGGGCTTCGAGCGAAACGGATGAAGGTAAATCCAGAACAGCACATGTTGTTTAGAAATCACAGTTGTATTTTGGTAAATTAAAACAAATATAACATCTTTTATTTGAACAAAATATAATACCTCTAATGAATGTATTTTGTGAAATACAAAGAACCTTCCTATTAGAACCAAGGAATTTTTTTATAGTTGAACTATAAAGTCCTTGATATAACTGCGTATTAACAATTTTTAAATTATGTATTGAGTATTCAAAAAATATAAAATTGTTTCCTTTGATCGTGACGAAGGATTACAACATTTCATAAATGTCACTTCAAAAAAAAAATATCATATGTTACTTGTAATTTAATTGTTTCCAATATTTTACATTATTCCATTTAATTGAAGGCTGGTAAATTTATAACACCTGTTTTGTGTTTGTTTTTATTGGTATCACTAGACACCAGTTTTCGACACCAACCCCCCATTAAATTATCAAATAATACATCTATAATATCTTAAAAATCACTTTTACAAAATTTTCACCTTTGTTAAGTGACGACATATTTTTCGCAGTTATCTATGATGAGTTTATTAAAATTTGATAAGGACTTTTCTCTCTCTAAGATGCATTATGCGCTGAAATTCGAAAAGATCCAATATAGCCTTCAGTATTTATTGCCTTTGATTCACTGACTGGTGCTAATATTTCAGCCTGTTTTACGCCAAGGTTAAATTGAATTGTGTTAACTCTGCTTAAAAGATATAACATGTACTCAGTCCAATATTTAAGGAATGAATAGTTAAAAACATGTCATTTTAATGGTAACATTTTTTATTGTAAGAATATTTTCAAATAAAATGTTTTTGAAGACTTAAACATGGTAAATTTGGCTAAATTCCAAGAATTTAGTAATGTTAAAAATTGCTTATGCATAGTTGTTTTTTAAATCTATGTTGTTATACTTTTGTTTTTATATTTTTGTTAAAAAATATTGAGGTTTTGTTTTTAGTCTTTAAATCTTTAGTTTTCTATGTTGTGTTGTGTGTACTTTACTTTGTCTGTTGGTCTTTTTCATTTTTAGCCATGGCGCTGTCAGTTATTTTCGACTTGTGAGTTTGACTGTCACTTTGGTATCTTTCGCCTCTCTTTTAATTTGGTACTTAAAATTACATAACATAGAAAATTAAAGACTGAGCAACACGAACTAATGTCTACCAGAACCAACAACTACGTACACATTTTTCGTTACTATGGTAACGGTAAAGAATTTGCGACTTAAAAGCGAAGAATTGTGTTTCTGTCAAAAGATTGAATTTATTGTTTAACTGTATTAAGATTTAATAAAGTTAAGAGAGAAGATGCACTTTTTATTTTTAAGCTAATTGAAACTTGACCTTACCACTTATAACTTAATTAAACTAAACAATTCTTGCCTTTTATTATCATTGAAAATACACTCATTCAGTCCCATAAAAACAAAGAAGAAAAATATTGTTTATATGAAAAGATATGGGAAATTAATATGAGTACTGGTTCCTGACTGTGAGTATTGTTTACCTCTACTTTCATAGTTCATAATTCTTAATTCGATTAAGGTTTATTCTAGAAAGTATGTTATATACATTAATACCGCGGCTCATAAGTCCTTAGCAAATTGTAATTCTCTGTTTAACGATTTGACTTCTGTAGCACTTTCTTTAAATAGGAAATTAAAATATTTATATATAAATATAGTTAGTTTCTGTGTTCCTTTTATTTAGAAATATCCAATCCATGTGTTGTTCAACCCAACATTTTTTCTTAAAATGTCCTGTACTAAGTCAGGAAAATTTAGAGATAACTGTATTGCATTTGAAGCTTTGCGGACGTCCATCGGTAGTTTTCCTGTCGCAAATTTAGTTTACCTGGCGACGCGTAGCGGAGACAGATAAACGGATATTTGCGATAGTAAAACTACCGCTGGACGTCCGCAAAGCTTCAAATACAATACAGTTATCTCTATTCTAATGCAAAATAAAAAAAATCATTCAATTTTAGTCGTTATTTCATTGTAAAATTTTCATTAAACGAAAATTCCGCGAAATGATGTTATCTTCTTTGGCGCCATAACTAGGTGACGTCATATGTATGCTTCCGGCATCAAACGTAAACACCGGGCGTTTTCTGGCTTTGTCCGATTCAAAATGAAATAAAATTTGATAAAAAGAAGATTTCTAGGTGCAAAATGTAAGTTTTTTGCTTATTATTGAAGAAATTACATGTCAATACATTTCGAAATTCAAAATGTCGGTTTCCTTAGTTACAGACAGGGAGATAGAGAATTTTACACTTATTGCCATCCAATCAGAATCATTGATACAACATATTTGCATTAGAATGGCTATTTTTATCTTATAGTTCGTTTCTGTGAGTGTTGCATTTTATTGTTTCTGTTGTGTCTTTGTTCTCCTCTTATATTTGATGTGTTTCCCTCAGTTTTAGTTTGTAACCCGGAATTGTTTTTTCTCAATCGATGTATGAATTTCGAACAGCGGTATACTACTGTTGCCTTTATTTTTTTTGTTTGTTTAATGTGTGTGTGGAATTAAGTGCTATCGTTTATGTTTCTTTCTTTAATGTTAATGTATTGATATTATGAAGTACTATCTTTAAATTATTATGTTCTTGCCAAATTCAAAGGGGCTATGTTTCTAATATATAGCATTGGTAAACTAAAAAGAAAAACTTCCAAGTGTGTTACAACTATTCAAAAGCCAATATAAATTATGTCTAAAATATCATAATCAATAACAAAAATAGATAAATATTAAAGTGTAATGTTTGGTTATCATCCGTTTCGACTAAGTTGTTTCCTTTATACTTCTACTAAGTTAGCAGCCGTCCATCAGTCACGTACTGACCATGTCCTATAATCTTGCATGGCTGTTAAGAATTTGCTTACATCTTTGTGTCTAGAAGACGATTAGGCAACTGTTGAAAGAGACGCGAAAATTGCAATATATTTCAGCTGTAAGTAACCAATATTCACCTCAGCGATACAGGCAATGAAGATACCATTTTATAAGATAAAAAACATTTTTATTAGATTTGCATTTATTATAAAGATCATTATATCATTCAGGCGCACATATAACTTTTGAATTGATATTGAGTGATGTAAGAATCCTAGGCAATGAGTTGGTTGATTATCATGCTTAACAGGCACAAATTTGTAAAGATATAAATAGTTCTGTACTATTGTTCAAAGAAGATTTCAAAACATTATGTAAAACTTTTCTAAAGAACATGTGGCAGACAGAATTGAATAAAGACAAAAATAAAGAATTTTATAAAATTTGCCCAAGCTACCAGGAAGAAATATCTAGTCTCCATCTTCGCGATGTCCATTCAGATACATCTATTTTTTATTTCTTTTTTTTTCTTATTGTTTTTTTTTCTTTTTTACTTTTACCACTAATATCGAAGCACTCATTTATATAATTCTTCTTCTTCTATCCCACAATCAATGATAGTATACACAACAATCAATGACAGTATACACAACAATCAATGACAGTATACACAACAATCAGTGACAGTATACACAACAATCAATGACAGTATACACAACAATCAATTGCAGTATACACATCTTAACAATCTGCTTTACTTACGTATATATTAACAACACAGTCAGAACTAACCTCACAACAACTTCAGAACACTAACGAAATAACACGTTACACTAATTTGGTTTTTTTCACAATAAGTTATAAGAAAGGCGCAAGTTCCACACCAGGAAAGCCACCTACCCTTAAGTTTTTAACGATTTTTTACTATATTCATTTCAATCACAAAATGATGTTGATGTATTCTAAATTCAATCATTTATTTAAGACATAAAAAAGTTATATCCATTTTTAAAACGATCACGACATTATCAAGGCAGAGCCGCTGTCGTTCCGGTCCTTTTTTTTTACATTTACTGTATTTTTTTCTTTTTTTTTCGTTCTTCTATTCTTGTTCAATGTATTAAATGTTATAATCTTCCTTGATACCAAATTCAAAGTAATCTAAATCATTAAAAAAAAGTATCAACATTTGTATATAGATCAGGACATTGGTCATTGCAAAGTCGACGTTGGCATGTAGGTTTTCTTTCTCTTGAAATAGTTTTGTTTTTTTGTTTATCTAATATTCTTATATCCAGTTCTATAACCTTCATTTGTACAAAATTTGTAGTCAATTTTTCCAAAAAAAAAAAACAGAAATAAAAACGTTTTCAGAACTTTTAAATATCGGTCAGGACAATCGTCAGGATTTTGGTAAGGACATAAGTGTAGACCATTTAATTCTTATCTTCCAAAAAAATCATATTTTCAATAAGTTCAATTTATAAGTAATGTAGTACGTTCATTAATTGAATGATAGAATTGTTATTATTTCAAATTGGGATAAAATACTATACATATATTTTTTTTTTCATTTTACGTTTTGAAAAAAAACTCGGTCTCTTATTCAATAAAATCCAGATTAGTAGTATTTTATTGCTTTGTCTAAAATTTTAAATAATTCGAAAACAATATGATAGAAGATTGTATAAACGTTTTCCTACATTAAGGATATTTGCTACTCTTCTCTTTGACGTTTTGTAAAGATATTCGGAATCCGCAGGTTTTATCCACGTAGTGCCATTAATAATTTTACCCGCTAACCCTTACTTTTCTTTTAATGATTTAAATACATATTTAGTTAAAAGAAGCTATTTTCAAAGTCCTATAGAATCCTTGTCATTTTTTTATAGCTTTTGATGGTATTAATGTTAAATTGATAACAAATCTACAGAAATTCATTTCCCGCCATATTTTCAATTGCTTATATCTCAAAAACAAAAACACGGACCTTTCATTTTTTCTGACTTTTTAGTTCTGTTATTTAAATATTATCAATTTAAAATTGTTATTTTTTTAAAAAACATGTTTTGTTTAAATAGAGTAGCAAACATTCTTAAATCCAGTGAGATTGAAGATGAGAAGTAAAACGTTTATAATCCATAAATCCTTTCGCACAGTACGTACACACGTAAGGATAGTCTCTGTTATGACAACGTCTGTGCTTCCTTAAACTTAATCTTGTTTGAAAAGCTTTGAGACAAATATCACACTCGAACGCAGCTTGAAGTGCATGTTTTCTACAATGTTTCTTAAAATCATGGTGTCTTTCAAATGTCTTCTTACACTCTATACAATTATACCATTTTTGATGGGAATGTATAGGCATATGTGCCTCAAGATATTCTTGTCGATTGAACTTTGCACTGCACTTTTTACATGAAAAGGTTTCGACTTTATGTGCTGTCAAATGTCTGTCATAATTTATAAAACTGTCAAACGTTTTCAAACATATATTGCAAGTTGTTTTATTACTTTTGTGAAACTGCATGTGCAGTCGTAAATGCTGTCTCATGCCAAATGACTTCCCACAGACATGGCAACTATACGGTTTGTTGTCTAAGTGTTGAATCATGTGTTTGAAAAAATTTCGGTGGTCTATATAGCAATTTCCGCAAATTAAGCATTTATATGGCTTGTGTGTTCTTTCATGAAGTTTAAGAAAATACATATTTGCAAATTGTGAATGGCAAAACGAACAAGGAAACAACTTAGTCTGAATATGCGAGTACATATGAGCTTGTAGGTGACATTTCTGAATGAATGCTTTGTCACAAACTTCACAAGTATGAGGCCGACTTTCTGAATGCGTCTTTAAATGTATTCGAAATGAATGAAGTGAGCGAAAGCTTTTGCTGCATCGATTGCATATCACATTCGAGGAGTGTTCCTTTTTCAGGTGGAATCTTAATTTATTACGTTGAAAGAATCCTTGGTCGCAGACGATACAATTATACGGTGCTTTCCCTTCACTATCAAATGCTTTAACCCCATTTTGTCTGCAGTCATCAAGGTATTTCCTTCTTAATTGTTTTTTGTATAATCCTTCATTATCTGTATGATAATGATCAACTTTTAAATCAATATAGAAATCTTTTCTCTCTTTGTTTCCGTCCATAGTCACTGGAAAACCTTGCTTTCAACTCTCGATCTGCATAAAATTATCTGTTGCTATGAGTCAACCTACAACAAAAAGAAAATTTGCTTTGTTACAACGATTGTATTTGTAAGTTCTAGTGGCAGTGCTCGCAAGCATTATAAAGACGTGAACTGATTATAGTTAAAGCACATTAAAGGCAATCTTTAGAATATTGTTACAATGTAAGTGCTTTCGGCCAATGCAATTGTTGGATTTAATAAAACATAATGGTGAAGAATCAAACTAACATGTGTTCAACATGTACATACTCCAAGTAAGGGATTGTCATATGGTTAACTTATAGTTAAAAAGGAATTCTATATATGAGTAACTACCCTGAAACAGTATTCCATTTATCAATTTTACAGGAAAACAAAGATCAAAATATGTTAAAATAAGGAAATATAATCTTAAATTTAAATAATACGCTTTTCAAAATTCAGATTACATGATCTCGCGGTTGGTAAGAATACTAGTTTCAAATGAACTTATACATCAGAAAATTAAATCAACTTCTCAACTAGTCTTGACAAAAGTCACACAATATACTTTTTTTAAATTAAAATTTTCAAAATGTCAATATTAGTTGACGACTCCAAATGATGCAGTTGTATGTAATGAAAAGAGGAAAATTGGATGTGGAATAAAATATAGACATAAATCAAAATTGAAAATTCAGTGATTTTAACTGTAAATTAACAACAAGATAATTCTTCATTGAAGGGAATTTACATATTTAAATTATAAGCATGTTCTCTTTCATGAGTTTTTACATGCATATTCACAATAAACACAGTAATACAATTCCTACATTCTATCATACTGTTGTGTCGGAAAATAAACAATAGTTGCTCCCGCTAGAAAAAAATTATTCTAAAAATGAGTAGCTCTCGCTTGAAAAAGGAGAAAAATTCAGACGTCTCTCAGTTTTCTTCCTGCTTCTAGTGCTTTTTCTTAAATAACGGATGTATCCCTTTAATTTTTTCATTGAATCAGTCCAAACTATAAAGTTGTCATGACCTACTGGAAGTTTATTCTTTAAGACTAAATAATATTCTGATAAAAGATTTTATAACAATTTCAATATATTTCCGTAAAATATAAATGTTAGTTAGACTTGTGTTCTGCTCTACGGAAAAAAACTTTATACCATATGGCAAATTATACAAATATAAATAAGTTTAATTTATAATTGAAACAAACAAAAAAGACTTACATCCCCAGCAAATTCCATACAACTATAGCCCGTAGGAGCTATCCTATCTTGATATTCAAGTCTGATCGTCATTTAATGAATTTCCCTGTATCTTGATTAACATATTTTTATTTTGCGCTATTTTAATCGATACTATGAAAACTACCTGTGAAAAATAACATATTATAAAACAACTGTTGAAATCCATAAACGACATCTATAGTCTATTCATATTTCAGTTTTATAAATTTTCAAAAAATAAATATTAATGTTTTTAAATTACGTGGCTTCTTTTGTAATGTGTATTTATGCATGTGTTTTACGAACTCAACAATTAAGGTCAAAATGTTTGTAAAAGTAAATAAAATGTTGATCATTAGGTCTAATGTTAACAAATGTTTAACATGGTAGATACAAGGTAATGGAGTTAGTGAATTGACCGGGTCAGCATTTGGTCAGATATTCTATTCATAATTCTAAACAACATAATTTATTTATGAATGGAGATTAGTATGAAAAGTACTGCTGAGGACAATTAAAAGGCTGCTGTAGTCATAACTGTAACTACTCCGACTGTAAAATTTGAAGTGTGGAAGAACATATTTACAATAAAGATGTTGGCAACTTATATGAATGTCTAAACCAGGTTTAATCCTCCATTTTCTACATAAGGAGATGTCTGTACCAAGTCAGGAATATGACACTTGTTTTCCATTCGTTTGATTCGTTTGAGCTTTTGATTTTTTCATTTCATAAGAGATTTTCCGTTTTGAATTTTCTTGGAGTTCGGTATTTTTGTTATTTTACTTTTTGGTATCGTTCGCCTCTCTTTTACTGATTTATTGACAAAAATCTCTAGCAAATAACGTCTGAATTCGTACGAAAATTAGAAAAATTTGGAATATAAATTCAGCTATCACATATGAAATTTTGATTTTCAATTTTAATAAAAGAATAGAGTTCCAATGTCCCCCGCGTTGCACATATTTCATACAAGGGCAATAACTAAAAAAGCAGTTTTTTTTGTTCTGTAAAACTTTTTATTAATATCTTCAGAGAAATGAAGGCTTCAGAGCATATATATATATATAAGTCTAAATTGAAAACAACGTTCAAACCTATGATTGCGTTGGATAAAAACCGCAATTTTTATACGTGTGCATATATATATCTTAAAACAACTTTAAACGTGTCATCCTATCACTTGAATAAGACTTCTTAATTTCAAGACCCTTAATTAAAATAAATAATAAATTCTTTTCCGGCAAAAACTTAAATAACCAATATAAAAAAGAAGATGTGGTATGATTGCCAATGAGACAATTCTCCAAAAGAGACCAAATGACACAGAAATTAACAACTATAGGTCACCGTACGGCCTTCAACAATGAGCAAAGCCCATACCGCACAGTCAGCTATAAAAGGCCTCGAAATGACAATGTAAAACAATTCAAACGAGAAAACTAACGGCCTAATTTATGTACAAAAAATGAACGAAAAACAAATATGTAACACATAAACAAACGACAATGCCCATTTGAGCCAAAGAAATGTTACTTGTATCCATTTTTATCTATTCTTTATATGAAATATACAATGTGGTGGCTTTTCAATGTCAAAACAGCACAATATTAAAATATCACGTGACTTGTATAATTGGTACCGTTATTGTAACTGTACATCTAATTTGCTATCACCCGTTGTATCAAGTGCAAATGATACATAAGCAGTTTTCAATTTTAATCATAACGCATACGATTTCTAACCTTGGTGGTCTCGTGGAAGCGTGTTCGCCTCGAGTGCAGGAGGTCGTGGGCTCGAACCCCAGCCGGGTCAAACCAAAGATTTCAAAATTGGTATATACTGCTTCTCCGGTTAGCAAGCGGCATTAAGGAGTAAAAAAGTATAACAAAAATACCGAACTTGTGGCAAATTAAAAAGGGGTATTCCATTAAAACTGACAAAATCAAGCGCTATCAATCAACGGAACAAGTGAACAAAAAAGTCAACAAAAAGATCAAAGACTGGTTGGTTCAGAGTCAGAATAATGTGTCTAGTAGGATGGTATGTGTTCCTGCGGACTGTGAACTAGCACGTTTAAGATCAGGCTCAGCCTGTCGGTTAAGTATAAAGCAGGGTTCATATTCATATAACTTTAACATGTTCTCGTTCTGCATATGCACTTAATTTGCCGCTGGACGTTAAACAGCCATCCACCTTTATCATACTAGTTCTGGTCTTTGCATACTTTGCCGATCCGATAATTTTATACGTTAGTTTTTTAATCAAAATTAATTTCAATGTTTAAATATACATTATCAATTAGAACTACTTTAACGTAAGCCAGCATAGATAATTTCGTGAGTTATAAGAAAGGTTAGAAATATTCAATTTTCTTTAGTAGCTTTCGAAACTATTGGTGATTGGATTAATTTTCAGCTAGAATGGGCTAAAAAGCTGGCGCTAAAATGCCCACTAGTAGTTTGTTTTAGTGAAATGTCCCGCGGCATGGTGTAAAGCATGATTATACAATTAATTGCAGTTCTATATCCATTATATCACATTTACACTATGCGGAATGAAAAGGGACAGGACCATAAGGTTATACTTAAATTATGCAAAATTACAATCGCTTAATGCAGAAAATTTTGTATATATTTTAAAACATCGATACCGTTTACTGTAAATTCAGAAATTATTGCGTGCATTTATTATTGCGAATTTTGAAAAATGAACAGAAATGCGAGGCAAATTTAATCATTGCGATTTTAGGAAAATCTACATACATATACATGTGTTTGATATAAGAATGCGAGTTCTTATTGCGATACTCAAGAAGTCGTATTATTCGCATTGATACAAACCTCGCAGTAATTTCTGAATTTACAGTAGTTCTTAACTATTTGGAAAGGTGATTGAACTCACAAAAGCATACAATCAGACCCACAATTCCGATTATCCACCCTTTAACATGTTGGACTGGAATTTTATTCATATATGCACATCCTAATGTGGTGTTCTAAATCTGTGTAAAGTTTCATTATTATTCATCCTGCCAGTAAGAAAGAGTTTTGCCTATAGAAAAAAATGGTCAGACGTACGGACTGAAGAGAACAGTGCTTCCGTTTTATCTATGCAGGTGTATAATAATAGTAAGGACGCGAGTATATTTAACTATCAAGGAGTTGTAATTTGTATTGTTTCATAATATTAAAAAAAAATCCTCCAATGGACGCAGCTTGATACGATAGCAGAGGTCGAACCCTGAATTGTAGCAAGTATGGACACTACATTCAAGCTCTGAATTTGGATTGTGATTGAATATTTGACACAGCATAGGTTTGTGACACAAAATGAATATAGCAAAGAACTGAAAAAATTGAAATTGGACATTTAATTATTATGGTCCAATATCCAAAATCTAGATACATGGTTAGAATCAGCATATCAAAGAACCAAAAGAATTCATTTTTTGATGAAATCAAACAAACGTTTAATTTATGACCATTTGGACATCAATGTGGACCAATTTGATAAAAGTAAACAAAATCCAAAATCTAAATACACGGTTAGATTCAGCATTTTAAAGAACCCCATATATTCAATTATGTTGAAATCAAACAAAGTTTAATTATGGATCCCGATTTGGACAAACTTGAAAACTATGTCTAAATTATCCAAAATTTAAGTACATGTTTAGATTCAGCATTTCAAAGAACCCCGTAAATTCATTTTTTATTGAAATCAAACACAGTTTAATTTTGGACACCGATTTGGACCAACTTGAAAACTGGGCCCAAATTCAAAAATCTAAATACATGTTTATATATAGGCAATATAAGCTTAGTTTTTAAAGGAGTTCGCTTCATCAAATATATAAATATATATATATATATATATAAAGCATTCAGAAAATTAGTTTATACAGAATAAAAAACAAACCTACCACAAAATTCTTCAAAACATTTAACAAAAAAAGAAAAAATTATTTCCATAAAAAAACAGAGTTCCAATGTCCCCCGCGTTGCACATATTTTATCTATCCAAGGTACAAGGGCAATAACTACAAAAGCACTTTTGTTTGTTCTAAAAGACTCTTTATTAATATCTTAGAGAAATGAAGATTTCAGAGCAAATGCAATGTGAATTCCATTTAAAAAATTAATATTTCATTAGGGCACAACTCGTTAAAAATATTTGATCAGAACTTATTTTCTAAAGCGTCAAAAACATTGCTGATATAAACCTATGATATAAGTTTCATAAAGTTCTGGCATGAATTGAATTTATGAGAGCGATAACAATGCAATTTTCCGTTTAATCAATATTACCAAGGGGCATAACTCTTTTAAAAATAATTGATCGGCACTGATTTTCAAACTTGTCAGAGACATTGATGATGTAAACATATAATATAAATTTCATAAAATTCGGGCAAGAATTGTACATATTAGAGAGCTCATACGGCAATGTTCCATATAATTAATATTTCCAAAGTGCCTAACTCTTTAAAAATTTTTGATCGGCACTGATTTTCGAACTCGTCAAAGACATTGCTGATATAAACCTATGATTTAAGTTTCAGAAAATTCTGGCAAGAATTTTACACATGAGAGTGTTAACAATGCAATGTTCCATATAATTAATTTTTCCAAGGGCCATAACTCTTTTAAAAATAACTGATCGGCACTGATTTTCCAACTTGTCCAAGACATTGCTGATATAAACCTATGATATAAGTTTCATAAAAATCTGGCAAGAATTGAACACATGAGAGCGCAAGCAAAGCAATTTTTCATATAATTAATGTTTCCAAGGGGCTAACACTTTTAAAAATAATTGATCGGGACTGATTTTCGAAATCGTCCAAGACATTGCTGATATAAACCTATGATATAATTTTCATAAAAATCTGGCAAGAATTGAACAAATGAAAACGCTAACGATGCAATTTTCCATATAATTAATGTTTCCAAGGGGCATAACTCTTTTAAAAATAATTGATCGGGACTTATTTTCAAACTCGTCCAAGACATTGCTAATATAAACCTATGATATAAGTTTCATAAAAATCTGGTAAGAATTGTTCACGTAAGAGCGCTAACAAGACCGGACGGACGGACGCCCGGTATTTCTATTATGCCGCAACTCGTTGCGCGGGGGATAAA